CATTGCCGCCCCCCCCCCCAAATAAAATCCTGGCTACGCGCCTGAGCGTTAGTCTTGGCATTTTAAAGTTTTGGTTTCGTTTAGGGTGATGTGACTGAACAGCCCGATCTGAAAATTCAGAAAATGTTAGAAAGTTCCCAAAATAGCCACAGTAATTTCCCGATATCCAAATGTCGAAAACGAAATTAGTCGTTTGTTAGAACGTTTGTTGGAACGTTGCTAGTCTTGGCATTTTAACGTTTTGGTTTTGTTTAGGGTGATGTGACTGAACAGCTCGATCTGAAAATTAGAAACAAAATGGCGACAGTTTCGATATCCAAGAAGCGCGTTGTTCGAAGTTAGTCTTAGCGCTAGTTTTGGCATTTTAGCGTCTTGGTTTTGTTCGTGGATCTGCATCGAATTCTCTTACGCGCAGTGCAGGTCCCGGTCCACAAGCAAAATGTTAAGACTAACATTAAAACAAATTTTGTTTCTGACAACGGGGCCCGATAACTAGCATAGTCAGCATAGCGTGCGCAACAGGAGCGCGTATATACATACAACAGGAGCGCGTCAACACTACAGGGAAAACACCCCAACCTTCGACCATCCCACACGCAGGACGTACCCTAATGACTTGCCAGACGAGTCCGAGCACGAGGTGGGCCGTGCCTGCCTCTAGATCCTCGGGGCCGATGTTGACGGTGTTGCAGCCGATAGCCTGTGCGGAGTTGAGAGCCAGAGTAAGGTTCTCGCGGCGTCTGTAGACATTGAGGCTGCGTTTGTTGATGGCTCGCTCGTCCACTGTCCCTGGCATAGAGTGGTTCACCAGCTTGCTGTGTATATAATAGGTGTTAAATATATAATCATATATAATACAGTATATAATAAGTATTATATATATAATAATATAAATAATTATAATGAATATATATTATATTTGTATTATATGTTACATAATGCGTTATATTAATTGTTGTAGAATAGGTCACATTGCATGTTACATTATATGTTATATCATAAGCTTCGCAATGTTATAATATAGGTTACATCTATGGTTACATTTTACGCTATATTATAGTTTGTTGCGATGGCACATTGTAGATTACATTATATTATTTATATAGTGCATTATATCCCACGCAAGTATATGTTACATTACCGTCATCGTGTCGTGGGTCACGTTACTATACATAATGCTAAGTTACGATATGCCATGCCATCTCATGCTATTCCATGCTTACGTGCAAGGCTGACGTGTTGATTCTGGCTTCCAGAGGCGCAATCTGACGCAGGAGGTGGGTGTAGACCTCAGAATCCTGAAATACAGGTAAATTAACGCGGAGTCTTAAATTAGACACAATTACGTAATAGATAACAAGGGACTCTGTAACGTGGACAACTAGTTTGTCGCAAATTATTATTATTATTATTATTATTATTAAATATTTATTGCATGTAATTCAAATACAAATACATGTACTGAAGACAGTCGTTTTCATGGATTCAGGTGTTGAGCAGTTAAAATAATAAAATGTCAATACCAGTCTATATTTACTTGTATGTTTATACAGGTTTATAGATGTTTATACTTGTCTTCATAGCATTTACCTGTGATATACCCCACCCGTTCATTACACGTAGGACAGTATTACCTGTATAATTAACTTGTATAATATACTTATTACCTTTATATCATCCACATGTATACGTACCTGTATGTTTGTCTCTATAACATTTACCTGTGTATTCATTTACCTGTTGATTACACGTACGCCAGTATTACCTGTATAATTAACTTGTATAATATACTTATTACCTTTATACCATCCACATGTATACATACCTGTATGTTTGTCTCCATAACATTTACCTGTGTATTCATTTACCTGTTGATTACACGTACGCCAGTATTACCTGTATACTTATATTTTCATTACCTTTATACCATCCACCTACATATTTACCTGTATGTTTACCTGCATAGAATTTACCCGCGCATCCAACTACCTGCTGATTACCTGTATATCGGAGGTAAAGTTGTTGACGCGGCGCTCGACGCCCGCGTTAGAGAGGTGATGGTTGACCCAGCGCAGCAGGATCTGCTCCGGTGTCAGCTTCTTCACATCTTCTAGGGTTTCGTCTGGTCTCAGCAGCGTGACGAGACCGGGAACCTCCTGTAGGGTGATGTGACTGAACAGTCCGATCTGCAAATTAGAAACAAAATGGCGACAGTAAGTTCTTGATATCCAAGAAGCGGGTTGTCAGAAAGTTAGTCTTAGCGTTAGCAGGCGCGTGGCCAGGGGGGGGGGCGGTGGGGGCGGGTCGCTCCCCCCCCAAAACGCCGGCCACAAAAGAAGAGAGAGAGAAGAGAAAAAAGTAATGAAAAGTGTTTTTGATCCTAACTTGTAGTGCGGTTGAGTTAGGGCTTGAGATAGTGATCAGACATGAGAAAATATGGCCAAGTATTGCCCTCAGATTGCAGGAAAATGGTTAAATGGTGTCAAAATTTGTCTGGCGGTCGTGCCCCCAGACACCCCTAGCTGCCATGCATACGCACGTGCCAAAAGTAAGCGTTGTCGAAGTTTGGCATAGTCGGTGCATGTATGTTTGCATGTATAATGTTAGTTGTACGTGTGTTTGTTGTGTGTGTACTGATGCTGATGTGTGTGTGTGTGTGTGTGTGCGTTGTGTGGGTGTGTGTATGTATGTTGCGTGCGATGCGCGATCGCGGCGCGTGTGCGTAAATTATTGTGGGCTTACGATCGTTGGTAGTATGTGATTGGCTATCGCCGATTCATTCCCCCCCAACCTCTTCGTACGGATTTACGCCCTGATTCGACACTTCACGTGCTCATATATTGCGCCCCCCGCCCATAAAATCCTGGCTACGCGCGTGAGCGTTAGCCTTAGCATTTTAACGTGTTGGTTTGTTTAGGGTGATGTGACTAAATCACCGCGATCGAAAATTCAGAAAATGTTAGAAAGTTCCCACAATAGCCACAGTAATTTCCCGATATCCAAATGTTCGAAACGAAATTAGTCGATTTGTAGAAGTTTTGTTTGAACAGTTGCTAGTCTTGGCATCTTTACAGCGTTTTGGTTTTGTTTTAGGGTGATGTGATGAACAGCTCGATCCTGAAAATTGCACACAAAATGGGCGACAGTTTCGATATGCAAGAAGCGCCGTTGTCCGAAGTTAGTCTTAGCGCTAGTTTTGCGCATTTTTGCCGTTCTTGGTTTGTTCGTGGATTGCTCGAATTCTCTTTACGCGGTGCAGGTCCCGGC